CTAGGGGCAAACCTGCAGCTGGAAAACAGGGGGCCTTTGGAGAGCGAGCGAGCTCGGCTGCTGGGGGTGGGCCCCTGGGGAGGGTAGACCTCTTGTGGGGGAGGGCCCGTGCGGGAGGGTTGGGCCCCAGGGGAGGGGTGGGCCTAGGAGAGGGGTGCACCGCTGGGGAGGGGTGGGCCTGCGCACACGGCACCCCGGGGCCTCCGGGAGGTGAACATAAAGGCTCGGCGGAGAGCAAGGAGGAGAGGGGAGTCAGTGAGCATGGCCGCTGCAAACAAGGCGGGGGATGTGGAGGGTCCCGGGGTGGGGGGAGGGTCCCGGGGGGAGAGGGTCCAGGGGTTAGAGGGTCCAGGGGTTAGAGGTTCCAGGGGGTAGAGGGCCAGGGGGTTGGAGGGGCCAGGGGGGTAGAGGTTCCAGGGGGCAGAGGGTCAGGGGGCAGAGGGTCAGGGGGGCAGAGGGTCCAGGGGGGAGAGGGTCCAGGGGGGAGAGGGTCCAGGGGTGGAGAGGGTCCTGGAGGTAGAGGGTCCAGGGGGAGAGGGTCCAGGAGGGAGAGGGTCCAGGGGGTTGGAGGGTCCAGGGGAGAGGGTCCAGGGGGGAGAGGGTGCAGGGGGAGAAGGTCCCGTGGGTAGAGGGTCCAGGGGGCAGAGGGTCCAGGGGGGGAGAGGGGCCAGGGTGGAGAGGGCCCAGGGGGGAAGGTGTGCAGGGGGGAGAGGCCCTCGGGGGTAGAGGGTCCAGGGCATCTCTGTCAGAGGTCTCGGCCTTGGGGGCATCTGGCGCCCCCTACCTACGCTCCTGCTTCTCAATTTCGGTTCCTGCAGGTGTTGCCCCTGGGTTGGGCGGGGTCTGCAGCTCCTGGGCTACACCTGGTGCTTCTCAGGGTGGGCGGGGTCTGCAGCACCTGAGGCGGCACCTGGTGCTTCTCAGCTCTGCTCAGTCAGGTGTGGGCTCCCCCCCCACCGCCCAGAGAGGCGCCTCATTTGTGCTCTTTGGGTAGATCCCGCGGAGCAGAATTGCTCGGCCATGTGGGTGACCCATTTTCAGTCTCTTGAGGGGTGTCCACACGTCTTTCCATAGTGTCTGGACTCATTTCCTTGCCCACCAACAGTGTGAGGGCGGCCTTTTCTCCACGTCTCCAGCACGTTCTCCTTTTTTTCTTTTTAAAGATTTATTTATTTATACAAGAACAGGGGTACAGACCAGAGGCACGGGAGGGTGAGAGGATTCACCAGAGCCAGAGCGGGGAGCAGAGCAGGCAGAAGGACCGAGGTACACTGCTGAGGGGAGCAGCGGGCGGCAGGAGAGGTCTGCGCGCCATGTGGGACCCTCGCCTGTGGCCGGGGATTGAACCGGCACTGCAGAGGCTGAAGGCAGCTTCGCAGCCCAGCGCTCAACTGCTGTGCCACCGGGGAGGCCCCCTGTCTCGTATATTAATTGTCTATAAAGGTGGTTTTTCATCTGGGCTCTCCATTCTATTCCATTAGTCTGTGTGTCTGTTTTTGTTCCATTGCCATGCTGTTTTAACTACTCTGGCTTTATAGTATAGTGGAAATCAGGAGTGTGATACCTTCATTTCCCCCCTTTGGTATCAGGAAAGCTTTGGCTATTTGGGGTCTTTTGTGATTTCTTATGAACTTCAGTAATCTTTATTCTATTTCTTTTTTTTTCTTTTTTTTTTGTGGGACCCTCGCTGGTGACCGGGGATCAAACCGGTGCTGCAAAGGCTGCGGGCAGCCTCGTAACCCAGCACTCAACTGCTGCGCCACCAGGGGAGGCACAGTAATCTTTATTCTATTTCTTTGAAGAATGCCATTGGGATTTTTGTTGGGATTGCACTGAATCTCTAAATTGCTTTGGGTTGGATGGCCATTTGACAACATTGATTCTTCCAACCCATGAGCTGGGTATATCTTTATATTTATTTAAAGGAAGGAGGATGGAGTACAGATGTTCCAGGGTCTGTGGGCCAGACTAAATTTCATTATTTGTCCTTAGAGTAATGGATAGCGACATAATCCTTGTTAACTTTCACAGCATTTACAGGATGACACTGAGAGTTTCTTGTGTTTTTTAAATAACTGAGAATGTCTCACCCCTTGCCCTACCCACCAAAAAACCTCTTTCCGCATATGAATTACCTCTGCATTCTGGCAGTAACTTTCATCTTATGCATAGGAATATAATAAAAATGAACATGAAATTCTGCCTGACAGGCATAAAATAAAAGAAAATATTTGGGAATGTAATTTATTTAATAAATGAGATGAACTGAGTGTTGATGGAAGAACAGTTAATAGTTTAATGAAAAGTACATTATATAGAGCCTCCCCTGGTGGCGCAGGTAGTTGAGCGCTGCTCTGTGAAGCTGTCTGCAACCTCTGCAGTGCCAGTTAGATCCCGGCCGGAGGGCAAGAGTCCCACATGGTGCGCAGACCTCTCCTGCCACCCGCTGCTCCTCTCAGCAGTGTACTTCGTCAGTCTGCCTGTTCTGTTCCCCGCTCTGGCTCTGGTGAATCCTCTCACCCTCCCGTGCCTCTGGCCTGTACCCCTTGTATGAATAAATAAATCTTTAAAAAAAGGTATATTATATATATATAGAGAGAGAGTCTGTTTTCTTCTGAATAACTTTTAAAGCATACTAAACAATCTCATATATAAACATAGTTAGGACATTTCTAAAAGAATCTGAGTGTAGTATCATTCAGATATCACAGTTCTTGAGTTCATGGGGTTATATCTTTCTGAGTCTAGTAAAAACATCATGAATTGTGTACATCCTTTTGGTAAGGTCTTAGAGAAGTCATCACATAGGTATCATTGAGCAAATCTGAATCTATTACAGTATTTAGCAAGGCATTCTTATTTCTGAAATGCCACATTAGATAGAAGAAAATTAACAATATTTATATACAAAGAAAAGTGATAGAATTTGTGATTACTGAATAGTCTTAAGTCATCAAACTCATCCAGATATTTCCTTTAAGTCTGAGAGAGATGTGTACTGTTATGGAGCATCAGACAAAATCCAGCTGTACTTCAATCCCATTTCAATCTATCACAGAAAATACTGACTATTTTTTTCCTGCAGTCATGCAGCTGTCAGCTATCCAACTTTGGGTCTAGATTTGCATTATAGTTTTATTTCCTACCTGTTCATTTTCATCTAAAACACGTTTTCCATGAAACAATGTCCGCTGTCTGAACAAGGAAAGCATGAAGTGCGGTCTCATCAAACCTGTCAGTGAATGTTCATGGACACAGCAAATAATATTGGCTAAATTTAAGGGGATGTAGTTCTACTTTTAAGAAGTGGTAAAATCACACTTATTGGGCCTCCCCGGTGGCGCAGCGGTTGAGCGCTGAGTTGTGAAGCTGCCTGCAGCCTTTGCAACGCTGGTTCGATCCCAGGCCACTGGGCGAGGGTCTCACATGGTAGGCAGACCTCTCCTGCCACCCGCTGCCCCCCTCAGCAGTGTACTTCGGTCCTTCTGCCTGCTCTGTTCCCCACCCTGGCTCTGGTGAATTCTCTCACCCTCCCGCGCTTCTGACTGTACCCAGTGCTTGTATAAATAAATAAATAAATAAATAAATAAATAAATAAATAAATAAATAAATCTTTTAAAAAATAAATCACTACTTATCTACACACATTGTTAATGTCATGGTTATCATTCCAGTAACAATTTCATTTTGTTCCACTATATATGACTATCTGCCCTCGTCCCCATTAAAGTCTATTACACATCGAAATAACCACAAAGTATGTGCACTCAATTGAAAATAAGTGAAGTTACAGAATTTCCTAGGGAGGTACACTGACTGAGATCTCTGGAAATATTAAAGATTTGTAAGCAATAGCAGAAAGTATATACATCGTAAAGATTAATGAAGACACACAAGATTGTGGTGATAATTAAATCCAAATGCAACAGTTGAACAGAATAAAAACATTCTTTCTTATAACATGATTCTTTCTTAGAAACAATTGTGATGGAACCATTTTTTTCCTGTGTGGTCTTGCAAGAATACTATCTCCCTCCAGCTCACAGATCAACTATCTAGAGAATATCATAGTGTATAACATCAATTCTTTGGGTGTGGACTAAGAGGTCATTGAAAAGCAACATGAGTTTCTTAACATGTCCAGAGGTAACAGGTCACATTCGTTCACTTTGTATTGGGAAGAACTAGTCACATGATCACTCAGAGCTCTGGGGGAACTGGGAAAGCTACTTTTGCCTCGTTAATTTCTGGCTATCACTATTTTATGGAGTTGAAAAACGATTTATAGGTAGCTTCTTGCCTTTAATATAGAGAAATGTTGCTATTCAGTTGTTCTGAATATAAGAGTTTTTTTTTTTTTTGGTCTGTTTATATTTAGCCTGCTCATGTTTCTGGCCAACTAGGTACATATAAAGCCCAAAATACAAACTCTTGTTGGGAACAATAGTATGAAATAAATCCACAAAAATGAGGTCAGTATAGAGAGCTCATCTTACTAACAGAGGAAAGAATTGAGCTTAATATTCTGTATCCATGTAGAAAATGCTTGAATTTCTGTGACTAAGGTAAATAGATTTTAGACTTTGAGATTAATGTAACATTCACAGTGATGATATACTAAAATATCCTTTATATTTACTACATTATAAAGACCCATTATATTTTTGTGTACAATGAATAATATTCTATACTGTGAATCGTATAGGAACTTCCAGGGAAATGAAATAATGCCCCAAGCAAACATGCATGAAATGAATTAGCTTCATAGAGTAAATGCCACATTTGGCCTTATATAGTAGCAGCACTGAATGAGTCACTGAAATGGCCTTAAAATTGGAAATGTTTGCTGGTAGCCCCTGACCTATTCTTTTCATCTTTTTCTCCCAGCAGAAATACTCTGTGAGTACAAAGTAGATTACTTTACACTTTTATTTCACAAACTGAATGGAAAGTAAGAGGGCTCATTTGCATGTCTGGACCTGGGATTTCTTGCATAACACTCCAACGATATGCACGGCTCTTGCCAGGTCCCGTACCAAAAGCTTTCCCTGTGGTCCTTGTGCTCCAGAAAATTGTTGACCTTGGCTATCTTTTCCTTATATGATAATTTTTTTTCTTTTCTGGATTTACTGGCCTGCTTTCTATTTAACTTTTCATCTTTCTCAAATCTCTCTCTCTGGTCTATAGGTAGAGTGTACTGATGATGAGCAGATGCTGGTTTTCATGGAAAGCCTCGTAGATTATATCTACTGCTCTGGTTTTCTGAGTTATCCTTTCAGAACCCTCAGGTAACCACTCCAGGACGAGGTCCAGATCACAGCACCTTTAACATGTTCCTGTTATGGGCCGTGCGTATGTGGGGATGGACCCACCTTACATTCCTGGAGGACAGTCCAGCACATACTTCAGCTTCAGGTGGGGGAACTTGTCTCTTGGCCCCATTTTGTGGTACTTAGGAGATTCCCATTACACAGCTCGGGATCAAAGAACAAATTGATTAGTAATTTGAGCAGTTTATATTCATATATCTCTATACGTGCACTCCCCTAGAATAAACCTAAAATTTCATTAAGATTTTCATGTGAAAAATTTAATTCAGGGCCTGCAAATATCTTCTAGGCTGATTGTAAGATAAGGTTTGTCTTTAAGGATAAATGGAAAATGTGTAAATCAGAGTATTCTATGTACATTAATTATCATTATATGGAACATTTATTTAATCATAAATTAAAATGATAGAATTCCATCCTTCTTTGTAAATCAAAAGAGATCATTGCTATCATTTCTTTTTTAATGCCCAGCAGTTCTTACTGATGAAAAATGTGGTCATCCCACATCCCAGCTAAAGTTCAAATTTAAATTAGGTTACTTGCTTATTTACTATAAAGTCTTGGGGAAATTTTTTTTAGTTTTTCTTGTGTCCCTATCTGTGATATGCAAGTAATAATAGCAATAGCACATGATTTTTGAATTAAATGAAGGGAAAATACATGTTTATATGTAAAAAAAATCCATAAATACACTAATATGCTGTTAAATGTAAAGTCTTTGTTTTTAATGATATTTTAAATTTATTGATGCAAAGAAGAAGTGGGGTGCAGGCCAGAATAGCACGGAGGAGAGGATTCACCAGAAACAGGGTGGGGAGTGAAACAGTCAGATCCACTGCCGAGGGCAGCCCTGGCGGGGACAGGAGTGGTCTGCTCCACAGTGTGGGTCAGCTCCCTGGCCCGGCATCAAACTCTGGCCACCGTGGCCAGTTCTTGCTCGATAGCGCTGAGACTTGAACCCCTACAGCACCAGGGAGGCCCAGACTGCTGTTGGGGTTTTGGACTGTGACTGGTTCTTGGTCTCTGCCTCCCGGGGTTTTGCAAGCCAGCCGCCAGAACCCCTGTGGTTTCCATTCGCACATGTCTGTCTGGGTGCGAAGGCCAAAGAGCCTTCAGCAGGCACTGGTCATGGCTTGCACCTTCATGAGGGGCATCCTTGGCAATATCTTGGGTTCATGCAAGGTCCGGATCTGAAAAATTCAAGGGATTTTCTCTGTGTTGCAATGATTTGCTCTCAGGCAGTTTTGTTTCCATTCCAAGCTGGGTCTGGTCTTGACACTGAACGCCAATTTCTTTTTCCCTCAGCCAATAAAAGGAAACAGAGTTTGAGGAAGAGGAAAATGGTTGAATTTGTCAACAAATGAGAGGGCAGCAGACTCATGTCTGAAAGACCACTGTCCTGCTCCTGGGCAGAGGGCAGGGGTGTTTCTAGGAAGGGAAAAAGGGGGAAAATGAGTGAGGGTCTGCAAAGCAGAGGGGAAGGGGCTGGCACGGAGACAGGAGGGCGCCAGCTTGCTTTTCTTCAATAGCTGATGTTTAACTCCCTCTTCCTTGCAGTGCAGGAGGACTTGTTATCTAAAGACAAACCTGTCAAACAAGGGGGGAATTGCAAGAAATACAGGAAAGACAAACTGGTTCATGCTTATCTGAGAGACCAATCATTTGTAACTGCATCATGATCCCCACCCTCTGGTCTGCCCTTCCACTTCTGTGGGAGAAAGGGGTGTGGCATCTTCTGGCTGCTTTCTGCTGAGTGGGGTCCTGGTGGGGGTTTTACCAAGGAAGGCCTGCACTTGCTGGTGCCACAGTTCCTGACATGGTGGTAATGTAATGAGTGTACTGTAATGAGGTGTGGCTGTAATGAGGTGTACAGCATATCATAGTCCTCACTGTAACAGGGATGGCTTTTTCCCTTCCTCAAGAGGATGGCATGTAGGGTACAGCCCTCACTGAAGAGGACCAGAGACTAATATAAATAGTGACTGAGACATCATTTTTCTCTACCCTCATCCCAATTCTGTAAAATAGTAAACCAAATGTAATTTTAAACAATTTCACCTATATTTGCATAAACTCAGGACAGAATAACCAAGCAGAATGTTGTTGTCTTTGTGGAAAATTCCACAGGCCTTAGCGTGAGCCTTTTAACACCCAGCCCATGCAGGCTTCATCAAAGTCACAGTCTTACCAGACTTCACCTGAGATTTCTTCTCAAGGGTCCCAGAGCTTTCTCCAGGGTTTTTCCAGTCCTGCCAATGGAGGCAGCTTCCTCAACTTTCATGGAGGTCTTTGGATTCTGGTAAGCAAGGTGACAGGCTCTTCTTGGCTAGCTCTTCTCAGCTCAGTTCCAATTTTACTCCCAGAAGAATTTCAATCAAAGCCTTGTAACAAAACATGTTTTTAATTTTCTTGTTTAAGGAGAAATAAATAAAATTGTCTATTGAGGTTGTGCAAAGGTAGACAATGTCCTGAGAAGTACAAATATGGCCTACACATTTTTAGGATGAGAAAAGATAAAAGCAAATGTTCCAGTTTGCTCATAAAAAGATGCAAAGTGCCACTGCTAAGATCATAGCCCTGGTATCGACAAGTTCTCTGGAGATAAAAAACAAAACATTAAAAACCAGTATTTTTAAAAAGACATTAAAAATTATACAAATCCTCCTCAGTGAACTTTTCCTGTCTATTAAGTCTTGATCTTTTGTTGGTAATTTTCATAAATCCAATTTCTCTATAGGCTCGGTAGGTCTTCTCAGTTCCAAAACATATCTATATTGTCAGTCTCTTTTTGTGAGTTTTCTGAAGACAAAGCTCAGCAAATTACCCTTAGAAATAACAAAACCTTGAAAATGACCATACCTAAAATTATGGTTTAAGCCAAAAGACAAGGATGTTTGCTCACAAGGATGTTTTGGGACACACACACATATGTATTTCAGAATAATAAAAATCATCCAATAATATACTGGGACATACATGGTTTTTAAAACTCTCATATACTTTAGAACACTTTAATCAAATTTTATATATGCTGGAAAGTTACAACTTTTCCTCTCCATGACAATGTTTTCTCCATGAAGTTTTAATATCTCTAGATTGGTCCAATGTTGTAGCATTTTCCTACAAGGAAAATAATTTATTGAGAGTCCTAAGACATATTCAATCACTTTACTGATCAAAAAACTTTATTGCTTTTGAAATTTGACTTCAAGAAAATATTTGTCACAGACTTAATAAATATATACACATTTTTATAAAACAACATTAAATTACCCAGAGTGATAACTAGAACTTTTATAAATATATATATATATATATATATATATATATATATATAAACAGTGCTCAACAATGCTGATAGTACCATATTTTCCAGTTAACCAAGTTTGAGTGTAAAAGAGAACCAAGACTTTAGATTTCCTAAACAGTATTTAATTTGTCATCAAGAACCAGTAAAAGCAGTTTAAGAATCCTTGAGTCTTGACTGCAGATGAAAAAGAAATTAAATTTGGTTTTACATAAGTACACTATTTTTTTTAAGATTTATTTATTTATTTAGTCAGAAGCGCAGGAGGGTGAGAGAATTCACCAGAGCTAGGGCGGGGAGCAGAACAGGTAGAATGACAAAATACACTGCTGAGGGGAGCAGCGGGTGGCAGGAGAGGTCTGTGCACCAGGTGGGACCCTCCTCCCGTGCCTGGGGAGCAGCTGAAGATCGAAATGGCGCTGCAGAGGCTTCGGGCAGCTTCGCAACCCAGTGCTCAACCGCTGCGCCACCGGGGAGGCCCATAAAGTACACTATTGACAACAAAATATTTCTAAAGCAAGGCATTCTAGCACAAAACATTTTTCCAAAATACCTCTCTCAGACCTTCAGTACTTCAATATGTTTTTTGTCTTCCTATTTTGCAACATTTTTTAAGATAGCCATTTTGTTTTGACACCAAATTTTTGAAGATCTTTAACATAACTCTTTTAAATACATTTCTTAAGACAACTTCACTTTATTTGCATTTCGAGTTACAACATTCTAGTTTTTAATTTTACTTTTAATTTATATATTTTTTAAAAGATTTATTTATTTATTTATTTATACAAGCACTGGGTACAGTCAGAAGCGCGGGAGGGTGAGAGAATTCACCAGAACCAGAGCGGGGAACAGAACAGGCAGACCGACAAAATACACTGCTGAGGGGAGCAGCAAGTGCAACAGGAGAGCTCTGCGCACCATGTGGGACCCTCACCTGGTGGCGGGCAATTGAACTGGTGCTGCAGAGGCTGCAGGCAGCTTTGCAACCCAGCGCTCAACCGCTGCGCCACCGGGGAGGCACAGTTTTTAATTTTTAGATTGTAAGCCTGTTATGGCAGAATTTCATCTTTATTTATGCCTGAAGACCCAGAGGAGATCTTTTTCCATAGTCTGAGCCCCAAGCAATTGGGCAACAGACCATCCATCACCCCAGCAGGGGCACATCCACAATTGAAAGCAGGGAAGGGGCAGAGAAGCAGGAGACTTCCAAGAGCTCACCTGGTCATCTGGGGCACCCAAGTCAGGCACCTGGCCAGAGAAACTCCATCAGTCACTCCCCGAACTTTTTGTCCACACGCAGGCCTTGTCCAACATAACTTTGGCTAATGAACAACTCAGGCTCACATTTTTTCACTTCAGGACATTGTAAGAGCTGTTATGCTATTATGCCATTCTACTGGATAATTCATACATAAACACGTCATTTTTTTTTTTTAGGTGAAATGATGAACAACAAAGTTTATATTTCCTACATTAAGAAGCAAAATATAAACCAAAAGCTCATTAAGTAGTCAAATTTTCATTTTACTGAACTTAGTAGATCCTTAGTTTTATAGGAGAAATATACCACCATTAAAATAATGATAGAACAGATTTAAGATAGAGAAACCAGAAGTAGCTTTAGTTTTTCTTAGGATAGGAAGTTCAAAATGCAGAGTTACAAATGAAACAAATTCATATGCCAGAGATTTTTTTGTTTATTTTATTTTATTTTTTGCTAGGGCAAGGGGAGGAAAAATCAATGAAGGTGCTCACCAATGCTTTAATTAAACCATTGCATTTTGAACTCGTTTTGTGGTGGACTCCCTGGTGGTGCAAGGGTTAAGCACCACACTATGAAGGAATCTATAGCCTCTGCAGCACGAGTTCAATCCCCAGCCGGCCAGGGAGAAACCCACATGGCGAGGCAGACCTCTCCTGCCGCCTGCTGCTCTTTCTGTCTCTTCTGCTCCCCGCTCTGGCTCTGGTGAATTTTCTCACCCTCCCATGCTTCTGACTGTACCCAGTCCTTATATAAATAAATAAATAAATAAATAAATAAATAAAGAGTTCCCCAGTTATTCCCTTAAAAAAAAAAAAAAGAAAAAAAAAGAAAGAAAAAAGAAAATGTCAGCTAAATTTAAACAACAAACCATATAAAAGCATGCTTACAGTATAAAGGTTAATGCTGGTATGAGAGAAAGGTTTTTCCCACCTACACCATTAGCAATCTCCAAGTCATCTTGAATTAATCCTTTCAAATTTGTTACTTTACTAGTTTTTAGTTTCCTCTTGTGAATATAAATAAAAATTCTCTCACTTTGTTGCTGCATTGTAAAAATCACCATTTTCTATAAACTTAGTTGTGTCCCCAACTTTTCAAATGATGCCGTGGTGCCTGTGACCCACATATGATTGAAATTCTGTGACACTATTTTCACTACATGATGGCATCTGTAGAAGGGTTTAAATTTGTCAAGTGGGAAAACACTGATATTGTCCATCGAATGGTGAATAAACAAAAGCTCTATTAGCTTCATAATATAAAATGGCACAGCTGCCATGGGAAAACATTCTGGCCATTCCTTTGAAAAGGAAGCATAAAATGAATGGATGACAGAGCAATTCCACTTCAGGGAAAACTCTGAAGAATTCAATAGTGACTCAAACTGACATTTGCATGTCCATAATCATATCAGCATTACTCACAACCTGTCAAAATCTAGAAAGAACTCGTGTGTCAATAGAGGTGTAAATGAAAAAAAAAAAACATATATGCTATGGACAATTATTCAGCTTAAAAATGAAAATTCTGATACATGCTACAACTGTAGGAACCTTAAAGCCATTATGTTAAGTAAGATGCAAATGGACTAACAGGGTATTATTCCATTTCTATCAGGGGTCCAAAGCAGTCAGATTCAGAGACAGCAGTAGAATGCAGTTGCCTGAACATGAAGGTGAAGAGGAATGGGGAGCAGTGTTTAACTGGGGGAAGGGAATATCTAGACATGGATGGTGGGATATTTGTGCAATGATTTGAACATAGTTAATGCCATAAAATGCCTGGATTAAAAATATTTAGTGGCAAGGTGCCTCCCCAGTGCCGCAGCGGTTGAGTGCTGGGTTGCGAAGCTGCCCACAGCCTCTGCAGCGCCGGTTTGATCCACGGCCACTGGGCGAGGGTCCCACATGGTGCACAGACCTCTCCTGCCACCCGCTGCTCCCCTCAGCAGTGTACTTCGTCACTCTGCCTGTTCGGCTCTTTGCTCTGGCTCTGGTGAATTCTCTCACCCTCATGTGTTTCTGACTGTACCTAGTGCTTGTATAAATAAATAAATAAATAAATAAATAAATCTTTAAAAAATTTAGTGGCAAATATGTATATTTTATAACAGTGAAAAAATAAGCACAGTTTTGAAACATTTGCAACACACATCAATATGAGAAAGGAATCTGGAAGGCACAGGGAATGTCAGGCAAAGTACTCCACAGGTTTACAACCAAATTATCACTAAAAATGGTAATAACCAGGCCTTCCTGGTGACCTAGGGGTTAAGACGGAGAACTATCATGACTAAGGCCTGAGTTCCATCCCTGTCCAGTGAGCTGACCAACATGGAACTGCAGACCTCTGCTATCTCCTTGCTGCCCCTTCAGCAGTGTCTTAGGTCCATCTGCCTGCTCTGCTCCCCACTGTGTCTCTGGTGAATTCTCTCACCCTCCTGCATGTCTGACTGTACCCCAGTTCTTGTATAAATAAATCTTCAAAAAAAAAAAAAAAACAGCACCTGCTAATAAACAGTGAGGTTTCTGAGTTTCAGAGAGAAGGGAAAGGGTAATGAGGTAAAAGGGATGAGGTTGGGGAAAATTAGTATCAGTTAGAGACAGGTGTTATGAATAAAATGCTGGAAAAGTGCTGAATGTAGAAGGGGGTGCATTATAGACAGTACCTGGGAAGGGTCCCCTGAAAATATTATTTCACAATGTAGGTCATAACCTCAGGTACAAAAGCCCTGCAGTGACAGTGTTTGTCTTTATCATGCAATATCAATAAGGCCTGTGGGGAAAACAGGTACTACATGAAGCCATAAAGTTGAAATGCTGGGCTGTTTTTCTCAGGGTTGTTGTATGATACAAGTAAATTCATAATAAAATATAATTTGTCCCTTGGCTGAAAGCCACTCAAGAAGTCCCCTCCAAGTCCCACAATTGTGCCCACTTTTAGGCCCACCCTGAATCCAAACAACAAGGGGGGCATAACAAGAAAGCGGAAACGCGCCACCCCTCAGTGACAGGGGCCTCCAGAAAGGCCCCAGACAGGAGTCGTCGTGTGCTGAGGTCCAGGCAGTGGAGGCAGGACAAAGCGACAGCGGCGGGACAGGGAGAGGGGATGGAAAAAGCCACGTCACACAGGCGGGGCAGGCGATACAAGGTAAAGTAATGAAATGGAGGCTTTGAACCTGGGAAGCCGCCTGAGGTATTTTACTCTGAGAAAACTTCAAAAACTGAGACTTGGAATTTCGATCCTAGGAAAAGTGAGTGGCGGACCCAAACCCCGGGCTGTTCTGACAGAAGGGGCATCTGCTCTGCCCGGTGGACCTGAGCTGCCTCCCTGGAGGCGCTGCTGGGGTTCAATCTCCACCTCTAAGAAGCCCCGAGGGGAAGCCCAGGCTGGCGGGTTAAACCTCCTCTGTGTCCTCCAGGGCCCAGGGGATTTAGGAGCCGCCTCCCCTGCCGGGGCCTAGGTCTGGAAGACGGGTCGGGCTGCTCAAACTGGGGGTCGGGGCCATGGCTTCCCCTCCTGCCTGCAAGACGCAGGGCGGGAGGTGGTGTCACCCCAGAAAATCTTAGTCTACCCCCAGGACATCATCACCCACAGTAACAGCCATGCGGGCCCAGAGCAGAGGAAGCATGAAAGGATGGAGGTAATAGCACTTTAACAGATTATAAATATTAAAAAAGTAAGTTGATTATCTACAAAATGTCCACTTTCCAGGTGAATGGGTGATTGTGGCTTATTCACTCTCTACAATAGGAAGGATTCTCTTAGCACCAGATATCAATAGAGAAAACATCTCAAGAACTTAAGAATGGACGCTTCAATCATGCTCAGTGAAATAAGTCAGAAAGAAAAAGAAAAATACCAGATGGCCTCACTCATAGCAGGAATTTAGAAAACCAAATAAGAGACCAGGAAAAAGACTAATCAATACAAAGTAAAAATCAAAATCAACAAGCAACTGTAAACCAGACGGCGGGGGGGGGGGGGGGGCCGGGGAAAGAAGGACAATAATCAAAATAAGGGGGGAGGTGCAATTGTATAGGGAATATAACCAAAATGAAAATGCATACATTCTGCAAAGATGAAAAAAAGATGTAAGAATTATATAAAATAAAATATTTAAATAAAAAAAAGAATTCCTTTAAAAAAAAAAAAGAATGGGTCCTTCATTGTCTCAGATGATTCCCCATGAAGGACCTTCCATCCCCATTGATGATAGTGCACAGCTGTCCCTGCTGCAGGAATCTCAGGGGTGTCCTTTAGTGATGCAGAGGTGGTCACAGGTTTCAATACACTGAATAGGTTAATAATAACCATATTAGAAAGTCAAATACTTGTAGCCAGAATGTGACAGGCAGGCCATGTTGCTCCTGGTCACTCAAGGCTCAGGAAAGCCTGGATTCTATTCAAGGGAGAGTCTAAAGTCACCTAATGAGGCAGTTTCCAGGGGTGAAAATTCCCTCTTCCAGGCTCTGAATGGCCACATCAGCTGCACAACAGGTAAGTAACACCTCAGCCTTCACATGCAGGCCCAAGACCAGCAGGGGCAGAATCTCAGACCCTGTGTGAGAAATGCAGAGCCCCAGGTACCACGCAACCCCCTGGGTCAGAACCTGTGCCCCGGGGAGACTGGGACATGACTCTGCCCTCCTGCCTGCTGGACCTGGGGTGGGGAGGTGGGTGTCAGCCCCAGAAAAATTTACAATACGTTCCCCAATTACATCCTAAATCTCCACAAAAATAAAACACACAGATCAACGAACAGAACGGAGAGCCCAGAAAACCCACCCCAGGGGTTGATCAGTGCAGCAGGAAGGAGCTGGGAGCACACTCGGGGGATGCACTTTCTTTCATTTAGGAGCCCAGGGCACCCACAGGGTCACACTCAGCAATGTCCTGAACCCAGGAATGTCCATGTCCCTCCAGGACCCAAAATGACACGAGCAGAGCTCTCCACAACCAGCCCGCCCCGCCCTTGCTGCCTCATCTCCTCCACTTCCACACCCGCGTCAGCGAGCAGTGATGGGACGTAAACACGTAGGGGCGGGGAAAGGCTGAGAAGGAGAGGCTCACGGGGCAAAAACAGAAGGAAAAAAACCCATAAAAAATAATGGGATAAAATAGAATGAAATTCCTGTGTTCCAAGTCTACTTGCACAATGTTGATAGCCACCCTCAGTGTCCTGCCAGCCAGCACGCTGTCATTTTCTGTCTGACCCTAGAGCTCAAATCCTGATGATGGTAGCAGAGATTCCACAGTCAACAAGAAAGATGGTGGCAGCAAAATAGAGTTCCACTTTTGTGGAAGTGCTGCCGTGGGCTGACTGACTTCCAGACAGGCATGCCAAGCGTCAATTGCTTGGGTGCTAACACTCCAATGAAAAACAGGAAGGATATAAAACCTCAGGGAATGACCAGTGACATTTCAAGGAACCATATGTATGCCAATGGTATCTAAATGCCCTTCTTTTAAAGATTTACTTATACAAGAACCGGGGTACAGGCCAGATGTTGGGAGGGTGGGAGGATTCACCAGAGACAGCGGGGAACAGAACAGAGAGATTGACAAAATACACTGCTAAGGGGAGCAGTGGGCAAGACAGGAGAGGTCTGTCATCCCATGTGGGACCTTTGCTGGCCGGCTGGGATCGAAATGGCACCACAGAGGCTGCGGACAGCTTCACAGAGCTGTGCCACCAGGGGAGCCCTTAAAGTCCCTTCTTTTAATGGGGGGATTTTATCTTTATCTGAAAATAGTTCACTCTTAATGAATTGATGTCAGCCACCCATGAAAGAGCATCATGAAGATGCTGCAGATGCCTCTTGCAGTGTCTATCCAGGTACTTTATTGCTTTTGACATGGCGACTTTCAAGGTTGCTATGATGACAAAGAATGTTCTAGTATAAGCTCAACCCACCTGAGCAATTTTGAAATGACACTGCATACAGACCCACAAAATGGACATCGTCACCATCATTTCCACTTAACACCTTAAGGACACTCAAGACTTCACCACTGACCTCAGTATTTTGACACTATCATGATCTTTGGAGGAAACAGGGGCTATTTACCTCTATTTTCACCTTGAATTTCCACACGGTGGTGATGCAGCAGGAATGTGGGGCAGGTGTCACCACTCTGAGTGAATCTCGTCCTCTCCTGTGAGTCTCGTCTGCTCCCCCAAGACTTGGAGTGAAGTCCTGGCCTGGGCCTGCGGGCCTGGTAGGGAGGGGATGAACCTGGTCCAACAGGACCCAGCAGGCAGCACCCTTTCTGCTTGGATCTGGGAAGAAGGTAAGCTGAGAAGGAAGGGAAAGTGAGGAGCCATCTCTCTGAGGGTGGCAAATGGCAGAGTGGTGAGTACCTGTCAGGGAGGAACCAGGGGAGGGTGGGCTAGATGTTGAACACTGGCCAGCATTGGCAGGTTGCCATTTGGGCAAGGCGGACACAGAGGTCCCTGTTCATCCATTCCAGAGCAGCCTGCTGGGTCGGATCCTGCACTGACTGGGGATTCCCAGGAGACCTGCCGGCACCCTGGAAACTGTCCAACACTGTGAAGACAATAGAGATGACACCTGTGGGTGGCAAGAACCTCTGTGCTCATGGCTACCAAGATGGGGGTGTAGGAGCCCAGACCCCTCAGGAGGAGGAAATGCCCAGCCACCTGGAGCAAGAACAGCTCATGGCTAGAGATTTGCCTCACCGCCTGCCCGGCATGATTTGATGCAGAGCTGTGGGGTCAGGATGAGGGGTGGTGCAGGGATCAGCCATGTCAGTCGTGTAGGGAGGAGTAGGCGTGATGGAGAGGGGGGCAGAAAGGTGAAGGTGACAGAGGGAGGTGCGTCTGAGCAGAGGGAAATGGGAAGCCCCTCTGAAGAGGTGGCTCTTGGAGAAGGAAGTGAGGGAACAGGCATTTCGGGCACAGAGAACCTCAGGGTGAAATCTCTGAGGCTCACAGGGTGTGTCTCCAGCCAAACTCTCGAACAGGCCAGCGGAAAACTCACAGCCCTTCCACGGAGACAGGAAAGCTGAAATACTGGCCTGTTTTTCTCATGGTTGTCATTACAATCCAAGTAAAAACCATAATGAAATGCCATTTTTTTCCTCCGCTGAAAGCTACTCGGGAAGTCCACTTCAATGTGGGACTCTACTCCTTAGCTTGTCTTCAAGCCCATGACCGTGGAGGTAGCCAGAAAAGAAGGCCTGGGCGTGCCAACCTCCTGCCTGAAAGAGGCCACCCAGAAAAGGCCACCCAGACAGGAGTCGTCTGTGTTCTCTCAACCCATCAAGGCTGTGACATTGAGGAAGAGACTTGGGAGAATTGACCCAAAAGGACCTGAATGGAATAAGACCTGTGCACGCAGGCAGGGCAGAGGCTGGTGGCTGAGATGGGCCTCTGGATTGGGCGAGCAGGGGGTAACCATGACAACTGACTCACATTCTGGGCTCAGGAATCCCGAGTGCCTGGTGGAACTCATGTTGATTGAACAAACCGCCCCACCAACCCCCACGCCTGTTAGTCACCAGACAACGAATCACTCTCTTAGCTTGGTCCAGGCTCACACTCACCACCAAGGTCCTGTGTCATTGGGTTTATTCTGCTCCCTTGCTTCTCAGGCTTAGCTTTGCTGACACAGGAAAGGACATCATGGTCTGGACATGGGCCAGTCTTCCAGCCAGTGTTGACCAATCTTCCCATCATGATACTGCCCTGCTCCCTGTCTCAGCACTTCACGCCTTAGGGGTTTCCAACATCTTTTATTTATTTATTTATTTCTAATAATGCCTTCATAGTGAATAAAGTGGTGCCATTGTTTCCACTCCCAGGGCATTTTCATTTGCTTGTGGAGAGCACTCTACAGAGTAGCAGATGTGCATAAACAAGAGTTAGTATAAAGAACAGCAAGATGATCCACAAAGGTTTTACAAAATTCAATGGGTATAAATTTAGTTCCTGTACAGGAAAAATAAACAAAAATAATACAATATTAAACAACATCCAAATTTTAACGTCGAGGATTTGTTGGATTTAGCCATTACCCAATGTCATTCAAATGCGCCATTGTGGCATTTGTGTTTTTGTTGCAATTGTGCTAATGGTTGCAATAACTTATCTCTAAATTCCATGACAAGACCAAAAAGGTTATTATGGAATGTACCATGTACTATGAAGTTGTCTTTGTACATTTGTTCAGGAAAGGGTTGCATTAAAAGGGATAGGGGTTATAGAGAATGATATCCCAACAAACCACAATTGAGTCTGTGATGTCAGAGGACCTGTTGATGTTGACCACGTCAGCATACAGCAGCCTCAAGGGCACTGAGTCTTGATCTGATGTTCCAGAGGACTGCACAGTCCATGGGAAGGGATCCTCTTTTTCATTTTGATTCCTATGGGTGGCATCCCAGGTGGTGGCTGTATCAATAATGTCTGGAGCTCTGGAATAAGACTGGTCCTTTATTGCTCTAACTGAACACGGCTTTATAAGTGATAAAACAGAAACAAACCCTCTCCCCGATGTGATGTTAAATGTTTAAAGTCCCAGCCAAATTGGTCCTTGCAAGAGATGGTGATCTACAACCAATGGCCTAAGACTTGTTTCTGCTGGGATAAAATGTTGTTGTATTGCCATGAGACCAGAGGAATCAGGAATGAGCTGTTGCTCACCAGTTGTTAGGCCAAAGCATTGTCATTCAAGAATTTAAATGTAAATCAAGCTCTGCATATAAGGACCTATGGGGACAAGTGATCCTCTAGACTCCTTTTGTTGTTTTTTTTAAGTGCAGACCCCAGGGTGAAGCCTTAGGAGACAGAGTTTTGTAGGGTTTTAGGGTATGTAAAAGAAGCAATAATCAGTTACCAGTATTGTCCAGGAATGTCCAGTATGCCTGTCCTTCACGCCTGGAAATTAGTCCCTGCTAAAAAGGAAAATCCTGAAGAGGCAGTAGGCAACACAAAACAGCAAAGATATCAAAATTACCAGAAGAAAAAAAAATTAATACCTGATGTAATTTATCTAGAAACAAGTGCCATCCATGCTGATCCTCATTCACCCCAACAGTACAACAAAATATTTGGAAACTAAATCCACTTTCAGATCATTTCACCTATGTAGGGTAAAGAAAATATCAGGATTTTCTGCCCTTCCGCCATCAGGATAGATGATGGATCCTTGTCCTGAATGCATGCCTGAGGGCGGGCACCTGGAATAGGGTGTGGGCATAGGTAGATGGGATTCAGCTGAGCTAAGACTGTGCTTTTAAGGGCGGCATCACGGGGATGCCAGCAGCAGCAGCAGCAGCAGCAGCAGCAGCAATAGAAGCCGAAGCCGAAGCCGAGAAGCAGCAGAACGAACGCCAGAAAATCCAGATAGAGTGAAGACTTGCTGTGGGCTGGGAGGCCTGCCAGCCTCCCAGCCCCCCAGCCAGCACCCCTGCCTGCCATATGCCTGGTGAACCCCAATAAAAAACCTGCAAAACCACTGAGGACTCTGACTCCTCCTTTACCCAGTCTGCATGGGATCAGAAAACCTGCACTGTGTCCTGTCCTGCCCTTTACAACCTATTTTTGCATAACATCACAGGTCAGGATAACCAAACAGCATTTTACACTGGGTTTGATGGAATATGCCGTATACAATCAGAGTGAAGGTGTGACATCCAGTCCCTGCAGGCTTCAGAAACAAAGTTGATTTCATCAGCTGCCACCTGGGGTTTCTTCTTTTCGAGGTTACCACAATTTTTTTCTTGTTCCAGGATGTCCAGTCCTGCCCATGGAGGTCAGCTTCCTCACCCTCTTTGGAGGTCTCTGGAAACTTCCATATAAAGTGGCAGGTTCTCTGCTTCTTGGTTTAGCTCAAATTTAACTTTCTTGAAAACATTTAATCAAAGTCACAAAATGAAACACGTTTCCAATTTTTAGGTGAAGCAGACAAAAATAGACTCTGTCATGAGTAGTAAACATTACGACCACTTGTTCATACTGTGTTGGTATCAAGGGGAGAGAGCATGCAAACACAAGTTCACTCCGCTTTAAAAAAACAAGAAAGTGCCACATGACTGCAGACATCAAACCAACGAAGTACATGATAATGCAGGACAACAGTCAAAATTTACAATTTGCATACATATCAGGCACTGAAATGTTTTATGAAAGTTTCAGAAAACCAATGTTCACATTTCTGTACATGCCTAAGTTTTACATTTTATTTCCCCAAATGACCATGATTCCCTTTCAGTTTTACTTCACCAGGAAAACCAAATAGGACAAATTTTTGTAATGCCTTAACCATGAGTGTAGGGTAAGGAAAAATATCAGGCTTTTCTGCCCTCCCGCCATCAGGATAGATGATGGATCCTTGCGGACCTGAATGCATGCCTGATGGCGGGCACCTGGAATAGGGTGTGGGCATAGGTAGATGGGATTCACCTGGGCTAAGACTGTGCTTTTAAGGGCGGCGTCACAGGGACACCAGCAGAAGCAGAAAAAGCTGAAAGAGAAGCTGAGAGAGATCACCGGAGAGCCCAGATAGAGTGAGGATTTGCTGGGGGCTGGGAGGCCTGCCAGCCTCCCGGCCCCCCAGCACCCCTGCCTGCTGTGTACCAGGTAAATCCCAATAAAAGACCTGCAAAAACCACTGAGGACTCTGACTCCTCCTTTACCCAGTCTGCATGGGATCAGAAAACCTGCATTGTGGTCCTGTCCTGGCCTTTACAATGAGGAAAGGGAGAAATTCCCTCAGGTGTCTCAGGAGCTACTGAGGCTCCACAAGATCTCCTCCAATCCACCAAGTGACAGACTACCAAATTTTACTTTTTTTTTTTTTGTGGGACCCTCGCCTGTGGCCGGGGATTGAACCAGCACTGCAGAGGCTGCAGGCAGCCTCGCAGCCCAGCGCTCAACCGCTGCACCACCACAGGATTAAAGTTGATATTTAAATATATTGACCTTGTATTCTCCAATCATGAATGAATTGGATAATCCTGAGTTTCGTGGTGGAGTTTCAGACAGGCCTCCTTCCTGGAGTGCCTGCAAGGAATTAGCGCCACCAATCTTCTGGTCTGTGACAGTCTACCCAGTAGATTTTGTTTAATGTGAGGGACTCAAAACTGCTTGGTCAAAAAGCCTGCAGTGTGGGAGCCCACCCACTTGGAGAGCAGACACTCTGGCTCAGGAATCCTGGGCTGACAGTGCTTGGATGCCTTGATTCCCTCCCTATAAATGGCTTCACAGATGCAGCAAAACATGCTTTTGAAATTCAGGTTGGCGAGGGTTTATGGAAATAGAGTGGTTGGGGCCAAGTAAGTGGAAGAAGGTATTATTATTACTCTTTTTAAAGTTGCCAGCCCGGTAGTGTCAGCCCAGTCAACAAATATTAAAAATTTCTGTTGACAATACACTGGGGGTTAAAATAAAATGACTAAAACTGCACACCTGTAACAGGAGCACAAGCCAACAACTCAAACACCATTTCATGATCCCTGAGGGAGGTGAGTCGGGCTACGAGGCCAGAGGAGCAGTATCTAAATATGTCTGGGCGTCTCATACATGGCCCAGGGGAAAGGAGACCTGAGATGTTCCCCAAAGTCAGAAGAGAAAGAGAGGAATGTTTCAGGCACAACTCGAAGCAGGAGCACTGGATTTGTTACAGGGCAAACACCTATATAAAATGGGGTTGTCTACTGTGGGTCCTCACCTGCGTTCTCAAAGGGGACTTATTAATGCTAAACTGCAGACAGACATAAAGGTTGATAAAAGGTTTATTTACAAGGGAAGGGGAAATTGGGAAATGAATAACTCAGGGAGAAAAAGAGGGAGATATGTTCGTAAATGCGTCCTACCGGTTCCACTGACCTGGAATCCTAATGACCCACTGAGCTGGCCAAAAAACCTAGCATGCCTCGTGGTCAAGCCAGAGACCCCCACCCAGGCCACATGGCCAGTTAAAAACCCAAACCGAGAACCTATTTGCTTAACTCCACCCTGAGGTCCTTGCAACCTTCCCTTTGGTGGTCATGGGATTTGTAGTTCTCAGTGCCGTGGGGGTGGAGTCCACAAAGCCTGTATGGAGTTTGCTTAGGACATCCTTTCCCCCTAACAGATTCACCGGGTCTGGTTGTGGGGAAGTGACAATATTGACATCTCTGAGCAGAGTTTCTCAGATATTGGCTGAATCTGGATCGCCTGGGAGTCCTGGGCTGGGCTCCATACCTCTCTCCCACCCCCAGAGTTTCTGATTCAGAGATCAGAATACATGTAAATGTTTGAATTTCTGACAGTTCCCAGGTGGTGCTGATCCTACTCTAGATATTTAAAAGAGGCATGAGAAGCTCAAGGTCTCTTCCCAGCCAAGACTAATAATGACTCCATAAGGTTGGAAATCCCTGTGCTCAGGAAGACAGGGCATGATGCTGATGACTGCAGAGGCTGGGGGGAGTTGAGGTCCCACCCTGTTGTCCCATCTCTCTGTGCTGGGTTCTTGTTCTTGAAGTTTCTTTCTTTGCCAACTTCTGTGATGAGAAGGCAATTTTGCCTTTGCTTCTGCAATGTGTCTGAACACAGCTCTTCCAGGCTCTATCATCTTTCATGTCTTGTAAGGAAAAATTTTTCCGAGTTAACTGAAAGCAGGACGAAAAATCCTACATGCTCCCAACTCTCCCCAGATCCCATTCCTGTTGCCTCAGTCCCAGGCTTCTTTGAGAAATATTTTTTGTTCAGTGACATCTTCTCCTGTGCAATTCATGGAAAAATGGAATTGTCTCCCCATCAGGAACACCATCCTGTAACTTCCCACATAGAAAAGTCAATCGTGGGTTCTTAATCGCTTGTTTCATCTGCTCTATATTAAGATCGTGACAAATTTTTCAAATCACTGGAAGACTAGAGACACTGAAACTTGCAACAAAACAGAAGATTCTGGAATAAAGTTCAAAATGACTGTTTTTATAAGATATATAATTTTGGCTCCTTTGAAATATTAACTCTCTGAAATTAGCATTTTTGTCAGACAAATATAGTCAAATATTTCCTGCATCCTATAATTTCCTACAGATAACAAAATCATACATACATATTCTAATTATGTATACACAAAATATATATATATAAATATTCCATTATCTCTATATTTTAAGTAAAATATAGCAAACAATAAATATATATTCTATTTCCATACACATTCTATTTTAATAACCCAATCATATGTATCATTATACTATTATCATTATTATATCATTATACTATTATCATTATACTATGCTATTAACTGATTATACTAAGTGTAATTTTATTTTAAACAGCACAAAAAGTACATTAAATTCTATTTTGCTTAGTTATTTATCCTAATCAATATATTCTTAATGTTGGAATCTATCCACAAATTTTATACACACCACATATTATACATATAATATCTATTTAGGAGATAAAGGAATGCAAATTTAGGATATTTAAATATAATATATACATAGGTATCTTAATAGTAAGCAAATTTTTAAATATATACTAATGACCTACATAATAATTGTACATACTCCAAGTCTAATTATGTATATGATATGAAAAGTTTACCATTCTAATTTCATATATATCTTAGTTTCATATGGCACTTAATTTATACACATCCTTATTATATATGCAGTTAGGTGGCCCCGATACAAAACGGGGTGCCTGACTGTGGGTCCTCACCCGCACGTTTAAAAGGACATCAATACTCTACTGCAGGCACACACGAAAGGTTAATAAAAGGTTTATTTACAAGGGAAGGGGAAATGAGGAAATGTACAGCTCAGGGAGAAAAGTGGGAGACAAAGTTTTAAATGCGTCCTACCCGATCCACAGATCTGGAATCCCAAAGGGCGCCCTGAGAGCTGGCCGCAAGCCAGGAGCCGTGAAGCCAGGAGGCGAGCAACAGAGCGAGAGACCCCAAGGCCCACGTGTTAGGTTTTTATACCACACCTGGCTGCTTAACTCCACCCTCAGGTCCCAGCCACCTTCCCTTTGTTGATGACGGGATTTGTCTCTCCCAATGTCCTGATGGCTTTGGTCTGGAGTGGGGGTGGAGTCCACAAAGCCTGCATGGGATTAGCTCAGGACATCCTTTCCCCCTTAAAAGGAGAGCCAGGCTAAGTTTCTCACAGGCAAGAAATTTATTGTGCTCACAGGGTGAGGTTCGCTGTTGGGGGATAAGGGCAAGTTTTTATAGGGCGGGGTCTGGCCTTGGTGGGAGGTGGAGAATGCGGAGTGGAAGTTGCTTTTCAAAGAAGTTTTTTCTCTCAGAACTGGTTGTTCTTCCAATGCTGCTTATCAGGGTCGGTGCAAACCAGGCAGAGCCAGCTCCCGGGATGCAGGTGGCAGCAGTTTCAAGTTCCCCCACTCTGAGCCCCATCTCTGCCCCGGCCTCGACCTTACAAGGGCCTATTGGACACAGGAACTGTGTTCCCTTGGTCCTTTATGGTTGATGTCAAATCAAGAACAAGAAAACAAACACAAACCCAAGCCCAAACAATAGAGGATGCTCAGCCAGGCCTCACAGCTCAGCAGGAGGCTGCTCTGGCCCCTGGTGTCACCTGTGCCCTGGATCTGGTTTGGGCCTGAGCATAGAACCACTCTCCAGAGGGCAATTGTGGGCACTAATTTATTGTTTCGACAACACCGATTTATTCAGTAAAATACCTGCCAATGCCTGAAGGGGACAATGACTCGGGACTCCTCCCACAAGACAATTCGTCTTATTCATGTTGATATTTCTGGGAAATTCCCCCAAGACAGAAGCCCTCAGGAAAGATTCAAGGATCCTCTGTTCTCATTGGCCCCTGCTGGGGGAGAGTCAAGGGGATGGCCCACAGGCCCAGCAAGGGCTTCTCAAAAATTCTTGCCATGGACTGGCCAAGGTCAATGACGAGGGTCTCCAGAAGAGCCCAGGCTCCAGATCCTCCCTGCAACGGCCCCACAATAGGTTTGTGTGCGTGTGCACACACGCGTACACACACACAAAATACATTCCCACAAGTACAGGCTCCCGCAAAATCCAGGGCCCTGCTGGGTCCTCTGCCTCCTCAATGGGTCACCAGGGCTGGTGTCCCCAGACTCACAGCCTGCCCCTCTGAGCTGCCCAGTATCGTCCCAATTGCGGGTTCATGGCTTGTCCTGGCGGGAGAGGAGCCACTCTGATGATACGGGCCTGCACTCTGTGGTTGGCTTCCCCTGGGGGACACCTGGGCACTCTGATCCTTTGGAAACATGGACTTTCTGGAGTTTATGGGCACAGGAACATGAACACTTGCTATGCCCATGTGTGGGGAGGAGCGCTTTCCCATGAGAGGTCTGTCCTCCAGCTGTCCACACAGTTCCTGTTTTTGCTGTGGCCACAGGACAGGCAGCTGTGTCTCCTATCACCTGCCCTGAAGCCCCTTGAGCTGTGCATCCACACAACAGTGTGCACATCTCACTCCAAGGGCTTCCCCTCAACATCCCTGATGGAACCAATCAGATTTCCCTCTCTAAGAACAAATACCCTATTGCATAGAAAGGGAACCCACAGTGAATGTCTTTGTCTGAAAATAGCTGGGCAGATCATGAAGTCACCCCTTACACAGTTCCATCCTAGGAAACCCCAGGCAGGAGTATGAATAGAGGCAGCAAGCAGTTGAGGGCAGCAGGGGCTGTGGGGGGCTGGGAAGAAAGTGGTTTGGCCACAGGGTCCCACTGGGGACATTTCTGCAAGTAGGTAGTGAGAAGGTAGTGTGAAGGGACTGGACGCCAAGGAGTGGGCAACTCAGCTAAAATGAACACAAACTTTATTAACATTAACACAATAAACAAAACTTATAGGAAATAAAATCAAAACTGAACTTGAAATAAATTAGAATCAAAAATTAAGAACTATAAGAGAAGGGCTGGACCTTTGTGGGTAGAGGCGAGTTTGCAGGTCAACGAAGACGTGTGCCTGGGAGGTGGGTGAGGAGGGTTTGGGAAAAAATGGCATTGAGTTGTCAGCTGCTCCTGGAGGGGGAGCAGGCAGGATATGGGGCAAAGGGTTGGGTCCTTTGAGGGGTAGTGTCAGGGGAGCCCCCTCTGGTTTTCCTGCAGGATCCCTGCAGTGGCTGCTTCCCCAGGCAGGGTTGTTGTGAGGTTGCACCTTCTTGTCTAACCTGCGGGATGTTGGCCAGGACCAGGTTGCTCCCTCAGGGCTGGTCTGAGCTTAGCATGTCCTGCGCTCTGGGGCCAGGGCCTGGCCCCCCCTATTGGGGTGCTATCTTCTTGGCAGCCTCAGGACATCCCATGGGAGGTGGGCCAGGGCCTGCCACCCCCAGCAGGACTGGTTTTGTTACAGGGCAGCCCCAATATAATACGGGTTGCCTGACTGTGGGTCCTCACCCGCGTGCTTAAAAAGGACTTATTAATACTCTACTGCAGGTACACACAAAAGGTTTATTCACAAGGGAAGGGGAAATGAGGAAATGTACAACTCAGGGAGAAAAGAGGGAGATAAAGTCTTTAATGCGTCCTCCCTGTTCCGCCGGCCTGGAATCCCAATGGTACTCTGAGAGCTGGCCGCGAGCCAAGAGCCATGAAGCCAAGGAGGAGAGAGAGACCCCTCCCCAAGACCCACATGTCTGGTTTCATACCAAACCTGGCTGCTGAACTCCAAACTCAGGTCCCAGCAACCTTCCCTTGGGTGGTGATGGGATTTGTTTTTCCCAAGACTTGATGGCTTTGGTCTGGAGTGGGGGTGGAGTCCACAAAGACAACCTTTCCCCCTTACAGCTGGAGCTCAGCAACCTCTGTATGTTCTGTATTCTGATGGTCAGGGCCTGGCTCTGCCCGCTGTGGTGGTGTCATTGTGGCAGCCTCAGGACATCCAGCGGGAGGTGGGTCTGGGTCTGCCTCCCCCAGCAGGGGTGGGGTGAGCTCACCCCCAACAGGCTGTCCTGAGTCTTCCAGGCCCTGGCCTGGCTCCACCTGCTGCGGTGGTGTCATTGTGGCAGCCTCAGGACATCCAGTGGGAGGTGGGTCTGGGTCTGCTTCCCCCAGCAGGGGTGGGGTGAGCTCACCCCCAACATGCTGTCCTGAGTCTTCCAGGCCCTGGCCTGGCTCCCCCAGCAGAGATGCTATGAGTACAGCTGCCTGGGCACCTCCTTCAGGACCCTGGACAGTGTCAAGCTGCCGGTTCAGCGGTGCAGTGAGCTCCAGGTCCTCAGGAGTACCTGCAGCATCCTGAATGGTTTTTGATGGCCCCAGCTCGCCTGCTGGGGGCGCATGTCCCTGAGGAGCAGCACATAAACAAGCTAATTCTCCAGTCTCTTCTGCACCTTTGCTGTCAGTTTCTGTTGAATCACTGGTTTGGCTGGGCTCCTGGACTGTCGGAAGACATTCAGAAGAGTCCAACTGCTCTGTTTGAGACGGAGCTGGAGAAGCAACAGAAGAAACCATCAGCTGCATGCCAGACTGCTACATACCTTTGCAAACAGACCACATCCCACAGCCCTGAGGCCAGTCCAGCCCAGCCCAGTAGCCCCCAGGCATTTGCCCCCTAAATCTGGCAGCTAGAGGTCCTAGAACTGACAGCTGCTGGGGCTTATCCAGCCTGTGCGGTCTCCTCCCAGGGGGATATGTATCTACCCCACCCAGTTGGGCCTGGGCACCCCCTTCTGGGCTACTCACTCTCTGGCAGCTCTTCCACAGTCTCCAGGTCATGCTGCCAAGACTTGTGGACCTGGGCCAGAATCTGAAAGCTGTGACTCCCTTTTGTGCGGTCCTTGGGTCTCAAAAAGAGCCTTTCCCGGTATCTGGGAGGTGAGTAGTTATGTTTTCTCAGGATATCTTGAATTTGCACGTCAGAGACCACCTCCTAGAAATAAACACACACATACCTGTAAGGTGGGAGCCAGCTGGGGCAAGATGGAGCAGCTGTGGCTCTTGGGGCATCCCACCAGCCAGGCTGGTCCTGAGTGTGACCTTGATCCACTTTCTGGATGGGCCAGCCCCTCCCCACATGAGCACACACTCACTCACTCACACAGACCCCTCCCCACCCCACCCCACAAGCACACACAGGGTCTAGGCTGGGTCGGGGGAATTAGAGTGGTGGCCTGTCCTGGCCTGTCCAGGCCCCCCCTGGTTACCTCGGGGGCAACTCTGACTAAAGACTTGCGACATCCACACAGCTTCCTAAAGCATTTTAGGAAAGCATGCCACAAGTTTCTTCGGCCTTTTTTTGAGCCACTGTCCGTGGATCTCGGCCAACAACAACAACAACAGCAAGACATCTTGTCTTGTCCTAGACCTCAAGACAAATGAGCTGGGTTGGGTTTGTCTTCAGAACCTGGTGACCAGGTTCCAAGTTCTGTGGGGTGTCATGGCAGGGCAGTGATGTCACTATCATGGGCTCCCTTCCCTGGACTTCCTGCTCAGATAAGAGCCCCCCCGCCCCCGCCGTCCATGGTTACTTCCTTTTCCCCCTCCATGGCAAGCCCAGTCCACACCACTGACACCAGCACAGTCTCTTGAAGCCCTTGGATGGTCAGGTGCAGCCAGGGCCCAGCTGGAACACAGGTCACTAGCTGCTGACTTGGCTACTCCTAGGCAAGGAGGAGACCTTGGGGCATCCTTTGTTCTAGGCTCCTATTTCCCATGGCTCCAGTGGGGCAGTGTAGAGTCACAAGGTAGGGAGGACCTGGGGTTGGCCCAATCACCCTGCTGCCCTTGGAGGGGAGGCTGGTGTCCGCTGGGACTCAGGCTCACGCTGACATGGAGGGATGATAAGTCCCAAGGGATGGCTTTTCCACTCCTAGAGTGAGTGATGATTGGAAGGTGGCCTATGTCAATCATCCTTTTCTGAGTCTCATTCTCTAAATCTCCCATTCTGTCCTTGTATCTTTACTATAACTCTTACAGGGCAGGGAGAGGGGCACCCCAGAATCCCCAAGTCTGCCTGCTCTAAATAGGATCTGCCATCTGCCGCATCAAGACAAAACATATAAGACCTTTAATATTAAAAACTTTAATACAACGGGTGTGCAATACAGAATAGACAATGAATATAGTCTCTGAATCAAGCATCTGAAGTTTTGCATTCCTTCGTGGGTAAACGTCCTGCCAAACAGGGTGGCCCAATGCAGGGCCACTGAGGCCCAAAAGCCTGCCACAAATCCAAAGCACCTTCTAGAAGGGACCCACAGAAAAAGGTCGGAAACAGCCAGACAAGTCTGGGAGGAAAAAAACAAAATCAAAACCAAGATAAACGCTGCCATTGTTCTTCCCAGAGCCTGTTTTGCATAGATTAGGAAGATCAGAAATTAATTAGATGCTAGTTGCAAAAAAGTGTGGTTAACTCACTGTTGACCTGTGTCTTAGCACCATAAAGTTGATTTTAGGCTTAGTCAGTTTTCAAAAAAGTCAGTTTCCTATAATATTTAAAAGTTTACTTGATATAAAGTGTGGGGAAATATTGACTAGTAACCCTGAGACCATTAGTTTGTGTTGAAAGGAAGTACAGTTGTTAGAATATGTGTTTTAGAGGGCCTCCCCGGTGGCGCAGCGGTTGAGCTCTGGGTTGCGAAGCTGCCCGCGGCCTCTGCGGCGCCGGTTCGATCCCCGGCTGCTCCCCTGCCACCGGAGGAGGGTCCCACATGGTGCGCAGACCTCTCCTGCCGCCCGCTGCTCCCCTCAGCAGTGTACTTCGGTCCTTCTGCCTGTTCTGCTCCCCGCTCTGGCTCTGGTGAATTCTCTCACCCTCCCGCGCTTCTGACTGTACCCAGTGCATGTATAAACAAAACAAACAAACAAACAAATAAATAAATAAAACATGCCTCTATAAATAAAAAAAAATTAAAAAAAAAGAAAAAAAAAAGAATATGTGTTTTAGAGAGTAGAGTTTGTCATTTAAAGTTGTAAACTATGCTTGTCACCAATAATGGAAAGGCCCAACCAATAGGGCCATCCTTGGGATCCTTGACTTCTGGCTGGGACCTCTTGATCTTACTGTGATTAATCAGTATATGAAAATTGAGCATTCTTGGAAGAGAAGAGGATTATTCCTCTTCACACAATTCTATCCAAGTAAATGTTAAAAACTTGCCTTTAGCAGATAAAGACACAAAGCAAATCCTTTGTCCCACAACAGGTTTGCCTCTGTTTCCCTGCACTGTGATGAAGTTGGGTAACAGAATTATGACTTTCTGGGTAAAGTTTGAATAGGATCACATCCTATGGATGACCCAATGCAGTTCAGACTTTGACAGTACAAAGCTTAACTATGTTTTTTTCTTTTTGTTTGCTTTCTCCCTTGTCTTTTTTAAATTTTTTATTATGAAAAATCTCACATTTTTTAATAAACTGAAAGAATAGTACAGTGAGCATCCTGCCCCACCACCAAGTGCCAACCATTTAATCAATCCAAACTTTGTGAAGTACAGTATTTTTGTATTGCCCAAAATTTTATTTTAATTTTTTGGGTTACACTTTTGTTCTGCCATATGTGCTCATGTTCCACTTGCCCTCCACCAAAATACCTATGCCCACACCCCATCTGCCTCCCTCTCCTACCGTTCTCTTTTCTGTCCTTTGTTGTGGGTGCAGAATTCTTGTTTCTACAGAGAACACAGCTTTTGAGATGACTCTTGAATTCTAAAAGGTCAATTCAGTGCCCCTCCCAGCTAGAATCTGTTGATCTTTGGGTTGTTCTCCACCTCTGGGAATGCAGTGTCAGTGGGTGAGATGGAGGGGTAGTTTAAAGATCCTTGATGCCTTCCTTGCTGGCCCCAAATGAGGAAGACCTTTATGTCTCTGGGTTTTAGAGGGTGGGGTAGGGAACAACACACTGTGGTCCTACATATATCTTCAGATCTCGAGGAATTGAGAGGGAGATAAATTTAATGCTACCAATGGAAGCTAATCTGTCCACTAATTAGCACCTTCTTCTAGAGAGGTCTAATATGGATTCATGGAGTTGACAATTAGGCTTTTTTTAAATTTATCATTGCTGCTGGCATCTTATCTCCCAAAGACCCCACAAGATATTTTAAATTACAGATTGAATTTAGTACATCGTTTCCTTGTTTGTCATTTGTCGCCCACAAAGGGTTTGTGCAACTGATGGCTTATAGCTGATACTCTGGTAACCAGAAAACCTGGTTTTCATACTGCTCTAATTGAATACACTCAGTTACAAATTTGTGACTAGCATAGCCTGATTCATTCTGTTAGGTGTGAAGAATTGTCTTCAAAGTTTAGAGCACTAGCTCTCTAACCATGTTTCAGGAATTCCTGAGTTTGGCACCAAGAGTTTTCTTACCAGCTCTAATACACCTCTTCCCTAGCTCATCAACAATCCCTTCCCTTTTGAAATCACTGTGAATGCCATCTTATGTGTAAAGTTCCATGCTTTTATTGGGTCACAATAGTATTACATCAGTGGTTAAAAACCATCATTTCTGTTTCTTTCCTCACCTACTTTCCTGGGAATCTTCCTCTGATCCTCTGCCATCTGTTCTCCCATCAGTGAAGGTGAAAGCAGAGACACTCTTATTTGAGTAGGTTTTCGACTAAAAGAACCAAGAGAACATAAAAAGTAGTCGATGTCATCAGTTACTCAAGAAAATAGCTGTTTTAAAAAAAGACTGTTAATTGCTTATGTGTCCCTTGGGCAAATCACATCACTATTTGGACCTCATTTTCTCTGCAAAATAATGAGGTTTGACTAAATGATGCTTAAGAGCCTTTCCAAGGCTAAATTATGTGAATGTACAAACATTTGCTGCAGCTGTGTGTGCTGTTTGGCTGTAGGAATTCCTGGTAGCAAAAGAAAGTAGGAGAAGATGTCGAATTATATGTGTTCATTATCCGACAGAAAGAAAGGAAGGCTTGCATCTGGACAGATGGAATAAAGTTCAAGTACAAAAGTACCATAGAGAACCCAGGGACAAGTTTTAAATTGTATTTGTGCAAAGGTCTCCAAAGTGATCAAAATTCAAACTGATATAGCTTAAGTAAGGTTAAAAAAAAGTGGTTAAGAGCACACACTTGAATGTCTTCTGGGATTTCTCCTTTTTATTATTGAGGGATTCGGCACTAAGTTGCAGGTGTCCAACTGATACCTAGACATCTGTATATAACCACCATGCCAGCCACCAAAATGCCCTCCCCCAGATTTCATCTTTGCTTTTCTCTGTGTTTTGGGGGTCAGGTTGGCCCAAAAATCCCCACAAAGCGGAAACCATGGCAACCAGAAACTTCTGCATGATATCTTTAAAGCTTCGTTACCAGAGATGTTAGAAAAGAAAACTGCAGGAAGAATTTTGATTGGCTGTCCTTGGGTCAAATTCTGACTTTTGGACCAAAAGTGTGGGGACCATTTCCATGGTCCAGGATCCACTGGAGCTAAGAGTGGAATGATAGTTTTCCATAAGGAGGAATTCCAGGCAGGCAAAGAGTAAATGGTTGTTTGACCTTATCATGCTTGCACCGCTTACCCCTCCTACTCCTGGTTATGATCTACCATGTAAATTTGCCATTCTTAAAATTCCAGGATGCCCCCCAAACCTCTAGGTCATTTATAAATTGTGGCTTAGCTCCTGCCTGCAGTTTACTGGCCAGCCTTCCTGTCTCTAAGTGCTTTCCCTGACAATGACTGGCAACCCTGATAAATTAATCTGGCTACAAATTGGCCAGAGGTGATAACGTCCATCTGATAGAAACTACCAGGGAGATACTTGCTGTCCTGCAAAGTGAGGTTAACTTGATGGGGTTCTTCACCAAAGGAAGAAACAGACTTGTTATAGTGTTTTGGGGGAGGGATGGTGTTTAGGTCAAATTTCAACTTTGCTTTAAAGCAAAGCAGGCCCATTTATAATGGGATGGACATCAGGATTGGACTGAGAGGGGATCTCAGGATCCTGTTTCCTTAGAAACTGCAAAGTTAGGATAAATGTGGAAAGCTGTGTGCAAGCCCCTTCTGTGAAACTCTGTGCCTGAGCTGGAAGTTGAGGTTGTTTTTCTCCATTTAAATGACTTAGATCCTGCAGGCAAGAAAGAGGGGTTTTGGGCCTCCCCGGTGGCGCAGCGTTTGAGCGCTGGGTTGCGAAGCTGCCCGCAGCCTCTGCGGTGCTGGTTCGATCCCCGGCTGCTCCCAGGCCACCGGAGGAGGGTCCCACATGGCGCGCAGACCTCTCCTGCCGCCCGCTGCTCCCCTCAGCAGTGTACTTCGGTCCTTCTGCCTGCTCTGCTCCCTGCTCTGGCTCTGGTGAATTCTCTCACCCTCCCGCGCTTCTGACTGTACCCAGTGCATGTATTAACAAAAAACAAACAAACAAACAAACAAATAAATAAAAAAAATGCCTCTCTAAAAAA